TAAATAAAGTAAAATTAAGAATTAAAGTAGTTTGTAAATTATTTAAAATTAAAAAAATCCACATAATCATCTTTTACATGATGGATTTTCCACTTAATATTGAAAATGTAAAATAGTCAATCACTTAGCAAAAAAATTAGCTACATCAACATTTAACTGACGGAAAGACGAAATTGAAAATTGAAGTTGAAGGATGTCTTTGGTATATTATGAAGTTCAAGGATGAATTGGTTCAAAAATAAAAGTTGAGGGACCAATTCAGATATTTAACCTCGACAAATATGTTAGCCATGTCAACATCACTATTCAATTAATCCTTAAATAGAAAAAGTTGAAAGTTGACATCCTCAAATAGAAAATATTGAAAGTTGACATCCTTGTTTAGAAACTGATAAAGTTAATATCCTTATTTAGAAAAAATTGAAAGTTGATATCCTTATTTAAAAAAAATTGAAAGTTGACATTCTTATTTAGAAACAGACAAAGTTAAGATCCTGAAATAAAAAAAAGTGCAAAGTTGGAATCCTTATTTGCACCTTTACTCATATCTTAACGAATCGAAGAATAACAATAATGCCCCCGAAAACAGGTTACAATTTTTATGTGGAATCGGAATGAAGAGGGTGAAACTAACAGAAATCAAATAATCAGATCATGATGAACCAACAGAGAGATTGATTTTCTTTTCCAATTTTTGTTGGAATTTTTTTTTTTTTTTGGGATTTTGTTAGAGGATGCAAGAGGCAGAGGAGAGGAGAAAAGGGTTGGGATTTGTAAAAATAGGTCCAAGACCACTAGTCTCGGACATTCTATGTATTTATTAAGGGCTTAATTTAACAAATCACCTACTAACTTTCATATATTTTTTTAAATTTCATCTATTATCTTTGAATTCTTCAAATCCTGTCTACTATCTTTCAGATTCATTTTAATTTCGTCTAATTTGCTATCTTTGAAGGAAAATTTCCTATTCTATTAGAGAATAGTTAGTCCTCTAACTATATTTATTTTGATTTTTTAGTCCTTAAATTTATATTTACTGTAAAAACAACTTTTATACTTAAAATTATTATTTCTTGGCTCTGATACCAGATTTTTATTTGGGTCTTCAGAACTTAACTCAGACTACTACTGACTAATGAATAGCTGGTATGTTAAGCTCAGTTAATGCGGAATTAGATCTACTAGACTACTAACAAAAATAATCTTTGGTTGGCCTTTTTTAATCTTTTTAGATCATCATTTAAATCTACAAGTGTTTGCTTCAACTTTTTGAGATTCTTAGATAGATGATAATCATCTTCAATGTTACTTATTTTTTCTAAAATTTTTACTGTTTTATTTCTATAATATTCTCATTGCTGCTCATAAATTATCTTATCTACAACAATTTCTTGAATAAAATCAAGCATCTTAAATTATAATGGGTTCATATAAAATGGATTTCTTTATTCAAAATATAAAAGGTCAAGTATTATTTGTCCATCATTTCTCATCTCAAAACAATCTAATGTTAAAGAATAATAAAGTTGTTTCTATGCCCACCTTGCTTCCATATGTTAAAATAAATGAGTTAGAATTTTACCTAAAAATCCTTTGGGCTAGCCTTCAATCAAGCAAATGCTTCCTTTGTCCAACCTTTAATGCCAAACTCAAGTTAAAATGGGTATTTGGACAGGACAAGTGACTTCACTGCTGCCTTAGTTTCTTTAGGATTTTTCTCATTTTATTTTATGATGGAAATAAAGAAGGATAGAAACATAAGAATTATTTTAAAACATAATTTTATTTCTGAGAAAAGAAAGGAAAGGTTCCCTTTCCTCTTGAAGGGTGTTTACAGATGCATAGTAGAAAGCTTTCAGGTAAGACATTTGGATATTCAAATGCCTGATACCTCTTATAGCTTATAGGAGACTTTTTATAGCGCTCCTTAGAATCTTTTCTTTTGTCATTGCTGACGATTAAAGTTTACATTATTATCTAATGATCTAGACTTGCTTTTTGCTTTTTCTATAGTAAATTACATGGAATCTTGTAGACACTCTTCTTTTTCTTTAGTGACGTAAGCGCTTACGTTTTCTTTTTTTTTTTTTCTTTTTTCTTTTTCATTGGATTCTTCAGAGGATGATGAGATCCTCTTCATTGTTTGAGGAGGTGGTCCCTTTGTCACATGGGGCTTCAACTTTTCCTTTTGCAGATTCTTTTTTGTAGCAGAAACCATAATGGTTGTCATGCTTTAACAGCTTGCATAGTCTATTATGGACTGCTTTATTGGTTGGAACAAGATTTTCAAAGATTTCCTTTCTTTTCTGCTTTATTTTGAATAGGCTGATGCTTGTCATTAATCTTGCACCAGTGGATACCATCGAGATTTCTTTGGAGAAGCCATATGTCCATGTTTTCCTCATCTCTATCGTTCTATCAAAGGTTTGGAGTACAACCTTAAATCCTAGAGCTTGTCTCTCTTGAATGAACTCGATCCCACAAAGAGACTTTTCAAAGTCTTGAAAATTTTGATCTTCATTCGCTTCTACCTTGATTTTCTTGGATTGGATTCCAATTTGAACTATATGATGACTAGGGAAATATTGAGATTTCTCCCATTCTAGTACTGCAGAGTAGATTTTGACAAATACAACCCCTTGAGCTTTGGTGCAAGTTTTGAAGTCTTTTACTCCTTGGCGTATAACTTCTGGAAGTTCTGAAACTTCCTCATTATCCTTTGAGAGATAAATACAGTTTACAAAATTGTAACTAAATAACTCTTTTATTGCTTTTGGGTTTGCACCCTGCATGAAATTAATTTTGGGATAAATCCCTTCATGGATAGGATGGCAATTCTCAGTGGACCTCATTGAATATGCCATTTTACAAACTCTGCGGTATTCCTGTAGATATTCTTCACTCATTGTCATTTTTGACAAGGTGTCTATTACTACAGCTTTCTTTTCTTTCTTTCCTGAGTAATCAGGTCGAAAGTTATGGCTTTTGGCATTTTAAATAACCGACTTTTCAACTTGAGATGCTAATGTTTCTGAGGAAGAGTATTTGACATAATAGTCAAACTACCCTGAACTTTCTACAAGTAATCCTACTGAAGGATCACCTTGTTCAAAATTTTCTTTTAGTTCTTGTTGGGAGCTTTTCTTTGCCATCTGGCTAAATTCTTTAGAGCTAATTCCGACAGTAGTAAGTACTCCGGAACTTATTAATTTTTCTATCAGCTCTTTGACCTCCTTAAGGGCATCTTGTCCCTTTTTTAATAACTTATGGCCTCTAATAATTTTTTCTTGGCCTTCATCCATAAGGTTATGACCTTCATCAATTATTTCTTGGCCTTCAATCATTTTTTCTTGGCCTTCCCTTATTTAGCTACTACCCTCAATGAGTATCTCTTGACCTTTGAGAATAAGGTCTTTCCCTTTATTTTGGAGTTTCAGGATTGCATCCATTAGCTCCTTCTCTGCTCAAGAAATCTGCAAGACAATTATTAGTTCCTTTGACATGTTAAATTTCAAAATCATATTCAGCAAAGAAAGTTTACCATCTATTTAATCTTTTATATTATGGTGTTAAAAGTAATTTATTAAAAATAAATCTTTTAACTTGAGTATTGTCAGTTCTAACCTTAAAATGTTTTGGTAATAAGAAAAAACTGAACTTTTTTATTCCATTTTTAATAGCCAATAACTCTTTATGATTTGAATAATATCTTGTTTCTACATCTTTAAATGTACCACTAGCATATCTACAAACTTTTTCTTGAGAATTTTTTAAAGCTGCTCCACAATAAAAATCTGAGGCATCACATTCTAAAATTAACTCTTCATCTTGTTTAGGCAATTGTAACATAGGAAGGTTCTTGCAATATTCTTTTATTCTTTTCACATGATTAGTGTGATAAATTTCCCATTGTTGATTTTCCTTTTTCCTGAGCAACTTTTGCAAAGGGTATCTTAATTGAGTTGGGTTTTGAGTAAACTGCTCTGCATAATTGAGTATCCCTAAAAACCTTTGAATTTATTCTTTAGATTCTAATTGATTTGGGAACATCGAAATCTTTTCACTAATGTGAGGTTGTAATTCTATTCCCGTGGAATCTATTGTTAATCCAAGGAATTCAATTTTGGTTTTTCCTATTTCTGCTTTCTTTTCAGAAAGTAATATTCCATGTTTCTTGCATAAATATGCAAATTTCTTAAGATGACATAAATGTTCTTTTTCATTGTCAGAGAAGATTAGTATGTTATCTACATAAATTATGCAAAATTTCTTGATGGAAGAAAATACATTATCCATCATTCTTTGAAATATTTGAGGTGCATTTTTTAATCCAAAAGGCATTACTAACCACTCATAGTGTCCTGTAGGGGCACTAAAGGCTATTAATAAGATACTGTCAGGAGTTAGCTTAATTTGACAAAATCCTGATTTGCAATCAAACTTTAAATACATTTTCTTTCCCTTAATGCTATTGATGAGAGTGTAATATCCCAAATTTTCAAGAATTTTAGCATTAAATTAAGGACTAACTTGTGAGGGAAGTATTGTTTTGGGGCCTAATGTGAATATTTCAAAAGTTGAGGGACTTAAAGAGGGAAAGATTTTGGATAAGGATGACTTCTTTTCTTTATCTTTTTCTTTCCTTCTTTTCTTCTTCCAGCCCGTGTGTTCTGCTCTTCCCGACCCCCCTGTAGCAGAACAAAAAAGAAAAGGGGAACCCGGCACCAGCTTTGAAAAATTGGTGAGAAAGCTTGGAATTTCTCCTTATTTCTTGTCCAATAACCTGATTTGGAACCCAAAAATCTTTCCCCCTTGCTGGAAAGCCAGATCTGCTCTGCTCTGTCTTCCTCACCGCCGGCTACCCTTGATTTTGGGTGCAAAATTCTGGGCTGTTTCGGTAAGAAATAGCCATTAAATTCTCTGTTTTTCCTTGAATTAGCTTGGGTTCATGTTAAATCTAGTGTTTCTCCAGATTTTGGGTGAACCCGTGAGCTTTCCCTGCAGCTTGCCGTCGGCCTCTTCCCCCCCTGCAGCTTCGGTTTTAGCTGGAGAATTATGGTATGTGACAGCCTTTTAAGGCTTAAATTGTCCATTTAGTTTGCTGCCTTGTATGTCCGAATTGTGTTGGAAAAATGGGGAAATTCCGGTAGCAATTAAGAGGGATTTAAGTGTGTTTTGTTGCTTAATTCAAGTGATATTTATGTGATTGAGTGTTAGTTGGTTGTTGTGATTTTTGGAGAAAACCCCGTGATTAGCTAGTGTTTTGGCCAATTTGTGAAAGTCGGGGTTACTGTGCACGTCGGGGTTACTGTTCACCGGTTACTGTTCACACCCCGAGGGCCAACATTTAACGGGAATTTAAGTGATTAGTTTGTGATATGAGAACGAATTTGGAGATATTTGATCATGTGGAGATTGATAGGAATAGCATTGTGATTAGGAATGATCCTAATGATGATTTCAGCTTGAATTTATGATAGTGGTATTAATTCTTGAAATATCTTGATTAGGTTCTTGATCGTCCTGTCAATTTAGTACGTGAATTGAGTACTCGGTTTTATGCGAGTGAGGTAAGTAAATTATGGTAACGCCCTTTGATTTTAAAAGCATGTTTTGATTTGTTTTTGAAATGGTGGCGGGACTAAACCCGTTTTACACAAGTATGACTGATTTGAAGTGAAATGTTTTATGC